AGCCTGTTGAGCACCGCATACAGACTCATGGCGCGAATCATTCAGCAACGGTTGGAGAAAGCCATCGACGAATGACTACGGCCCTCACAGTATGGCTTCCGGGCCGGGAGATCGACTTCACAGCCGGTGCACATTCTTCGTCGACTACTTGAACGGGCAGAGCGCACAAATACGTCCCTCTGCGTCCTGCTGCTTGACTGGAAACAGGCCTTTGACCGCGTTAGCGTCGAGGCGCTGGAGGTGGCGATGCAACGGTATGGGGTCCCACAGGCCATGGTCACCCTAATCAGCAGCATCTACACCTCACAATTATTCCAAGTCAAGGCCGCCGGCAATACCAGCGACGTACTGTGTGCAAAATCCGGCATCAGACAAGGATGTCCGCTTTCGCCGTACCTCTTCCTCATGGTTCACAGCATGATCCTTCACGACGTGGACTCACAGTTGCTGGAGAACGGAGGTATGATGCCATGGGTGTTTGGACAGCAGACCGACTTCTACGACCTCGCCTACGCGGACGACACGGCATTGGTCGCTTCAACAGCCGAACGAGCGGAGCAATTGGTGGCCCTCATAGAGACCACTGCGGCTCACGGCAACCTCGCGTTGAATTGGGAGAAATGCCTGCTGTTAAAATCCCAATACTCCAGAAACCCGGTGAGGAATCTCACAGGCGCAGCCATCAAGGAGGTGGAGCATGCCAAATACCTGGGGGTGATGCTATCCAGAAATGGCTCGTGCCGCAAGGACGTAACGGAGAAGTTGGCGAAGGCCCGCAAGCACTTCAACACCCTCCACCATTTTTGGCGGCGCACAGGGCTCCCTCTACATTGGAAGCTCCGTATCTACAACGCGGTCTTCGTGCCCATGCTGGCCTACGGAATGGAGTCCGCAGCCCTCACACAGGCGGACCTTCACAGGCTGGAGTCCTTCCACTCAAAGGCACTGCGGAAGATGCACCGCATACCAGCCACGTTCTACACGAAGGTCCTGGACTCCTCCCAGCCAACCACTTCCAACCAACAATTACGACAACAAGCCTCACAGCCACCCCTCACACACTACATCCACAGGGCACAGCTGAAGTTGTTTGGCCATATTCTAAGAGCACCGGCAAAGTGTTTAGAGAGGGACTGTTGTTTCACTAGCGCCTTCCATTATAGAAGTGGTGAGGTAGGGGAGGACTTAGAAGGGGACGTCCCAGAATACACTGGGCGGAGCAATGTGCAACACTTTCATGGCACTGGCTTCAGGATCTCCCAAACCCTCCCAACTGACCAAAAGCCCCGAAATTCCCGTATGCATGGCTTCAACTTCACAGGCTGGCTGTCCGTCGACAATTTTGGAGCCGGCTAGTGGGACTGCCTATGTGCAGGAAGTACCTGAAGCAAGCCTTCTACATTTCCTACTCACAGTGAACCAACACAGTGAGTGTAGAGGACTTGAGGTTCAGATGCATACAGCTGCCCAAAAACAACCAGAAGTCCTATACCGCAACCAGGTGGTCCTTACTACAATTGAAAAGCGGACCCTATCAGAACCGGTCCCAAAAATCACAAAACCGGACCCTACTGCAACCAGAACAGTGCACAATCAGTTTGCCATGAGATGCACTTGGAATGCTGCACTTGGAATGCTGCGCTTGGAGTGCTGCTGGAGGGGTGCTCTTGGAATGCTGCTCTTGGAATGGTGCTGGAATCGTGCTGGAATGCTGCTCATGTGAAGGTGCTGGACGGGTGCTCTTGGAATGGTGCTGGAATGCTGCTCTGGGAATGGTGCTGCAATGCTGCTGTTGGACTGGTGCTGGAATGGTGCTGGAAAGATGTTCTTGGAATGCTGCACTTGCAATGATGCTGGACGGGTGCTCTTGGAATGGTGCTGGAATGCTCTTGGCATGCTTTTCTTGTAATGGTGCTGGACGGGTGCTCTTGGAATGGTTTTGGAGGGGTGATCTTGTAATGGTGCTGGAGGGATGGTCTTGTAATGGTGCTGGAAGGGTGCTCTTGGATTGCTGCTGGAGGCGTGATCTTGTAATGCTGCTGGAGGGGTGGAATGATTCTGAAGGGGTGGTCTTGTAATGGTGCTGGAGGGGTGCTCTTGGATTTGTGCTGGAAGGAAAAAGTATCAACATAGTGCAGCGTGCATAAGCTCAGCAGTATGACTGGGCCTTTTGTGTTTCCCGCTACCCTGAAACTCAGGCATACCGTCCTGTACTGCTTGTGTGTTTATACCGTGACACTCAGCAATAATGTATCATGAATGTCCAAGTGCTTGCATGTTCAAGCTATGGGTTTAAGATTTGGGGTAAAGCGTAGGATGTATGGGTCAACTTTGAGGCTGCTCCATAGGTTCCCCCGAAATTAACCTTAACTAGGCTTAATTTTCCCTGCGAGCAATCCGCGCATATTGCTGGGTTGTATGCCATGACTGAATCAGATTGCAGCCTTATAACTTGAAATTTCGTAATTATCATAGCTAAGTATTATCATTTGGCCCTTTCTGGTTCCTTGTACTTGAAATTTCGGAATAGTCATAGCTATGTATTATGGTTTGGCCTTGTCTGGTGCCTTGTACTTTGAAATTCAGGAATAGTCATAGCCAAAAAAATTCATTTAGCCCTTTCCGGCTCCTTGTACTCGAAATTCGGGAATAGTCATAGCTAAGTATTGTGATTTGGCCTTCTCTGGTGCATTGTACCCAAAAACTCGGAAATAGCCATAGCTAAGTACTATCGTTTGGCCTTCTCTCATCATACCCTGATGTTGGGGAATGGTCATAGCTAAGTATTATCACTTGGCCCCTTTTGGTTCCTTGTACTGGAAATTTTGGGAATCATCATAGCTAAGTATTATGATTTGGCCTTGTCTAGTTCCTCGTACTTTGATATTCCGGAATAGCCATAGCTAAGTATTATCATTTGGCCTTTTCTTATTCCTTGCCACCCTGAAAGTTGGGAATAGTCATAGCAACGTACCGTGATTTGGCCCATACTGGTTCCTTGTACTGGAAATTTCGTAGTTATAGCTAAATATTATGACAGGGCCTTGTCTCATACTTGTGCCCGAAACTTTGGCAATTGTCATAGCTATGGGTATTTCTGATTCCGTATACCCTGACATGGTTCAAAAATGTCAACGTTATAGGTGTTCCCTTTCAATTCAACTATTTGGTGCTGTGACGAACGACGGTCCCTTCTACAATTCACGTTTCCTTGAATTAACTCAAATTTCCTTCCTTCGGAATACAAATCAGATTCTGAAAATCTTGCTGTCCTTGAAGTGAATAGCTGGTTGTGATAGTATGGTTCGTGGTTTCCCTAAAATCAGCATCCGGTTGCAGTACGGATGGTTTGGTTGTGGTATAGGGTTTCTGGTTGTAGTAGGGACTAGTCGCGAGGGGAGGGGGGGAAGAGAGGGGGGCAGCGAAAAGCAATTCAAGAAAAAACAAACAACAGTTCGCTGAGATTTACTTCGGATATTTAGAAATGCCTAAACCTGTTTTGCAGGTACTTTTGGAAGCAGCAAAACTAGCTTCGGGAAGGGTAGGAAGCAATGAGCACAATAATGTACAAGAAGGCATGGTGAATGGTATTATTCACTGTGACAATTACGCATCTCTACACTCTTCCTCCCTGCTGATAGGACTACATGCGGAAAGAGAGGCAAGCTGAAGAGAGCCTGGTGAGGGTCTCTTTTATTTTTCAGATTCCAGTGGCGGCATGCGAATTTGAGGTTTCGCGACTCAAGCTTTTAGTCTGCCTGCTGCTAGTAGTAGTTGTTGGGGTCGCCTCTGTTTAGGCTCTTATCAACACCACGGGCAAGATCTGCCAGTGGGGCTGCTTTGATGAGGACCCGCGGCGGTTCACGGGATAGCGGGTATTTTTCTTGGATAACAGTGCTGATCAAATATGGTATGTCACATCTAATTTCCTCTCTTGCAAAATACTCATGCACCTACAAAGTTTGCGATTGAGAGCCGATGTAGTCGGGCTCGCCCAAGGATTTTTGACAAGCTCATGCGATGTTCTACCCACGATAATTGTACATATATTTATGTGAGTCCTTGCGTCCGATGCCAGAAGATGCAAAGCAATGGTTTTGAATATCTTTAGATTATTTAAATTTGACTGAAAGCTCCATGAATGTGGCATATGTGTGTGATTGGCAGGATCAGGCAGGCTTTTTCAATTTCGTCAGGGCACGCGTCAAGCAACCTTTGCTTTGAAGCTACTCATTGGCCGCCTGCCCTCGTATGCAAAGCTTGGAAGTCCACTAGGCCTCAGCCTTTTCACTTGAAGCATCCATCGATGCCAAAGCCGTTAACCAAAAGCGCTACATAAGCACCATCGTGATAGCCCGAGGTACAAAACCCTCTACCAACGACACTGCGCGTCATCATCTGGTACTTCTGAAGATCATTTGTGAGAAGAACTCAGAGCAAACTGCGTGAGGGTATTCAAAGGGTTGTGTCCCTTTGAGGAGTTCTTCTCACAAATGATCATACGGAACACCCCCCCCAATTCCAGCCCCTCCCTTTCTCTGCGCGCCCAAACCCAATTCTCCAGGAGGATGAGGCCTGCCACCCAGGGCTGACGAGCCTTGCCTGATAAAACCAGTTGCCGAACATTAGGGTGCCTTTCTCTAAACACGGCATCAGCAAGGGGTTGTTTTTAAGTCTGCGGTATGAGTCAGGCGCGATGCCGGCATTTGAGTCCGTAGGCCAACCTACTTCTTTAAGGGCCGCACAAAATTTGTAGAGGTGTGCAAAACCCATCAGCGGGATTTCTAACCCACAAAAGTTGGCAACGCTGACAATCGGCTACATGAACCTGGAAGCTTTCCAAACCATGAATCGCCTAGGGTGTGGCGCAGCCCCGAACTTAAGGCCTGGAACCCTGAACTTGGGATTGCAACCCCCCTATAACGCTCTTTCGAGCGAATTGCAACCCCCTAACGCTCTTTCAAGCAAATTCCTGATCCACAACTTCGTGCTCTCCAGTGATGCAAAGTATAAAAAGTGTGCTCAGGAACATGCAGTGCGCAGAAATCTACGGCCACGTCGATTGGTTACAGGTTTGCGACTGTGTCGACGAGGCCCTAAAAGAGTGAAAGCTGGACTTGCTTTGTTTTTATGCCTGTTGCGTCGACTCGCCGGTGTTGGTTACGCACGTCATCCCTATGCAGCCCTAGACGATCCCGACATCAGCCCAGAAAAGCTTTCTGCTGGAGGCCACCGGCCTCCGTGACAACATCACTGTGGCTGCGCCGAGGCGAGGCAGAGTGAACCTTATGGCTTTGTCGCGCTTATTCCGGCAATGGGGGGATGGGTATGGGGGTGGGTCATGATGCGAATTCTGAAGGTTACGTAGTACAAGAATCCTTGCACGGGGCAGACATGCGTACGCAGATTCTCGAAGCTATGGTGTGCCCGGTGCCCTGAACTCCAAACCTGTACGGGGAGGCTGGGAACCGCCAACATCTACTTCTCTGTTCCTGCCTTCGTCGTCCTCTTCCGCGAGTCCCTGGAGGCGCGTCTTGATTGCTACGATCTTCCCAGCATGTGCTGCTGTACAAAGGACGTTGCTTGTTGGATCATCAGTCGCGGCCATCACCTGGTCACTTATCATCATACAGGGAAAAGAGAGCGCTTCCATGCCGAAGTCACTACGTCTCTACGCACGACTTTGTGGATTCCTTGAGGCGTGGCCGCACCGGAACCTGCTTGAACCACCTCCATTGTGCAGATATGTGCAGCTCACAAGCTTCCGAACCAGGGCTTGGAATGTGTGTGGAGCTTAGGGCAGGGGAAAGTGTGCCAGTGAGGTGCTCGGAGTATGTGGGGATTGAAATTTTGGTATTCATACGAAAGGCTCCAGGGAACCTCGGCGAACACATTTTGGCGCTGTAGCCTGCTTGTCGTACAAGATCTTGGACGTTAAAGTGCCACAAATGCCATAAACATATGTGGAGCACATGAATCATATGAATCCAAATGCTTTGAAGCTGAAAATCCCCAGCCACTGCGTTCAGGTGGTGATTGTGCTTGCCATCATCATGCAGTTCTTGACAAAGATGAGGCGACTGGCCTGCACATCCTACACCTTGTGAGCAGTTGAGTTGTTGGGGCACGCTTGCAAGAATCCAGCCAGACTAACAGCATCTAACAGCTTGAGGCGACCTGACGGGTGCAAGGCTTATGAGCTTCAGCATTCAATCTTGCTACATCTTGGGGGTTATAGTAATCCTCATGAAGCATACTAGATAGGGCTCCAAGGGGATCCCTACTGACGTAGCCGACTCGAGACTGCGCGTGGATATGCGTGGATTTCTTGCGCAACCCAACGTCTGCGCTCATTGAACCGGGGAATTCAGTCAGGTAGATCCCCAGAAACCGCCAGCTAGGGGATTCTTTCCAAGCCTTCGACGATGCCGAAGCCTCTGCTAACGTGATCCTTGTCACCCGACATTCATTAACATTGCCAATGCTTTTTCGCTACTGTGCATGCTGCGGCGGCGGCAGCAGTGGCAGCGGCAGCACAAAGAACAAAGTTGTCCAACTACAATAGCAGCATGTTGCAGCAACAATGCATTATGTTCATTGTGATTAGTAGTCATTGTGATTAGTAGTCGCGTCGCCCTTCTCCCAATGACGATGCGTATCGTGTTTGCTGGTACTTACACTGCTCCTGTCACTTCTGCCTTCGTACCAGCGCTGCCGCCACTTTTATCATCGGGCTTGCTGACTACCATGACGTCAATCCCATTCAACAAAGCGCAGGAACGACGGGCTGCTGGAGCCGAAGCAATTCTACAAGTTCCGTCGCGAGGCCCTTGCCCAAGGGCGGGATGGTGGTGGTCGTGGTGGTGATGGTGGTGCTGGTGCTGGTGGTGGAGGTGGTGCTGGTGGTGGAGGTGGTGGAGGTGCTGGAGGTGGTGGTGGTAATGATGATGATGAGTGGCTGTACCACCATTTTGGCAAACCCAGGTCTACATCGGGGCCA